GGGCCGGCCGGCCCGGCGCCGGGCGGGGAAACGGAGGCGGGGGCGGCCCCGTGAGCCCGCCTGGCAGGAGCCAGCAGCCCCGAGCACCCACCCCGGGGCCACCCCCCCGCCGCTGTCCCCCAAAAAGAGGGTAATGCCAGCGTAACCCTCACCTTCCCGGCGCCAGCGCCGCAGCCCCGCCTGCCTTCCCGCCACCACCGGGCCTCGACGCCGGGACACCGGCATCCCAGCGGGGCCGACCTTCCCGCCAGGCCGCGCAGGGCCGCACTGGGCCCGCTTCCAGCTCTCAGCCCCCCCAACAGCTCTCCTGACCCCCCAGGCATGGCCGCCCCACAGCTGACCGAGAGCACCCTCACGGTGGAAGGCCAAACCCTCTTCTACCGCCGAGCCGAGCCGGCCCAGCAGGCACCAAAGCTGACGGTGCTGCTGCTGCACGGCATTCGCTTCTCCTCTGACACCTGGCTTCAGCTGCGGACGCTTGCTACGCTGGCCGAAAACGGCTACCGAGCTGTGGCTATCGACCTGCCGGGTAAGGCATGGTGGAGAGCACGGCCCTGGAGCGAGGTGGCGGCCGGGGGGAGCCGACAGAGCTGCTCGCGTTGATGATGCTGGCGTGGCTACCCTAGCATCCTGCTGTGCTGGCTTCTCCCTGTCGCGAGGCAGCGGAGAGTGTGACCAGGCAACTTCTGTCTCCCATGGCTCAGGGCTGGGGCGCTCAAAGGATGCCGTGGCCCCAGCGCCCGTGGGCCAGCCAGCACCAGGGGCTTTCCTGAAAGCAGTTTTGGAGGCTCTGTGCCTGGGTCCAGCCGTGGTGATCAGCCCATCGCTCAGCGGCATGTACTCCCTGCCGTTCCTCTTCCAGCACAACCACCTGCTCAAGGCATATGTGCCCGTGGCACCCATCTGCACCGAGAAATTCACGGCAGAGCAGTACGCACAGATCAAAGTAGGGCCCGGAGGGAGATTGAGGGAGGTTGGGGAACTGGGAGGGGACAGTGAGGAGGGGACCCTGGCGCCAGTGTTGGGCAGGGGAAAGACTAAACAGGCCAGAAACCCCATTGCTGCTGGAGAAGGGGAATGTGATGGTGAAGGAACGTGACCATAAGGTAGCAGGAGGGAAA